CCCATAAGACGTGAAATGAAGAAGTTATAATTTCGAATCAATTTCACCTCCCCCCCAAAATTATTTTCATATATCTAGATCCGATGCCACAAGGTATAAAGCAATTCGATGAAAAAAACGAATTACCAGACGTAATATTTACATGCACGACGAGCGAGCGGACAGATCATTGACATATATAAAGGAAAGACCTGTTATTACGTAATGGGAAAAGAGAAGATCAGTGTTAGCTTCAATAGGCGAGGACCTTCATGATATACTCTTTGGATAATATAAGTGAACTCGTAAAATAAATTACGTTCACACCCTTAAAATATTAATTTTATTGTAATTACACAAAAAAAAAATCGAGTATATAACCCTCACGCATTTCTCTAACAAAGCTGTTTATCCAGAAAAGAAAGAACCCTGCAAAGTCAGTCACTCATTGTTCAATGAACGGTTAATGAAAATTTCCCCTTCTCGTTTCTGAATCACTCAGGCAGTACCGGTAACGACAACGAAAACGATAGAAGCTACTCAAATAATCCACTTTCGTATTCCTTCAAATATACAATATATCCAGAATAAAGGATGGACCTCTCTTGGTGTCCTGTATGTGATCAAAAAACCTTTGCCTTAGAGAATTTATATTGTAGCGAAGCATGTCGGAGAAAAGATGAATTAAGCTTCTCTCATTCACAAACGAGACCGTCCTGTGTATCAGAATCGTTCTATGAATTCCCAAGGTGCGCTTCCAAGAAGCCGCATCAATCTCCCCATAATACTCTAACCTGCGCATCCAATATTAGTCCGTCCAACTCCCCCACATTGCATCCACAAACATCCTCTTCAACGACAAATTCCATGTATTGCGATAGCGACTATTATTATTATGCCATAAGATCGGTTCCTGACTCGGAGGAAGAAGGTGGTAGATTGTCATCGTCACCATCAGAGCTCTTGCAACTGTCTCGAACGCTGTCGAAGAGTAAGACACGAAACGTGGTACCGATGACATACTTGTCTTGCAAAGAAACCATATCGCCACCACCGATCCGGAAGAAACGATCGATTCTGGCGAATAACTTTTTTGCACATTATCTATAACAAAACCGCGGTTCACTTTAGAACAGTCCTATACATACATACTCATACGTAATCGAAATATATTTTATTTCCTTTTTTTTTTCTTTTGGGGTACTCATATTATAGAAAGATGATTTGGTTATTTACTTCATGTTTCGACAACGTGATGAAGGTTTTCTTCAGGGGTTTGGTCGTTGTCTTTTTTGGGATTATTCTTTTGAAATTTTTATGATTTATTACAACTGTAATTTTAATGTAACGGAGTCTTCTCCGCAAACTAATGACAAAATATCTAACAACCGACTTCACCCAATGAACACTGCCTTCTTTTTTTTTTTCTTTTTTAGACAAGAACACAATTGCATTTAGTTTATATTAATAATATAATAATGTATTACACTCCCATCTAATTCTCGCACAATAAAAATCTCTCAGAGTTCAATGTGAACTCTGATAACACGTTTCTAATTTTTTGTATGATGAAATGTATGGTATAATAGAATGGTGTAAAAAGGGGTTCATTCCTTGTAGAAAAGCAGGATTATCTTATTACAGTAAAAGCAAAACGGTTAAAGTTTAATTTAAACGCGTTTTATCTTACCAAAATTGGGATCGTTGCTGCAGTCAATTCGGTAAGCATGTTGTCTTGTTCATTATCGAAAATGAATAATAATAACCTTATCCTTAGCCTTGTGTCTCATCATCAAATTAAAGTTAAAGATGATTTGCACCTTTTTTTTTAAAAAAAAATGTAGAATGTAGAATAACGTGATTTGTACAACAAAAATTGCGACTGAGGGTCGCTTGACCTTGACACTTTGATAAAAAAGAAATCGTTTTGCGCTTAACGGCAAGTCGTCGTTGTTTATTTTTATTTTTTTTTTTTAAAAAAAAAAAAAAAAAAAAAATTCCAAAAGCATTTTTTTTTGATGACATAAAAAATGTGGAAATATTATTACATCGTGAAAATATAATGTGAATGAATGATGTGTAATTGGAATTTTTTAGATATATGAAAATAATTTTGGGGGGGAGGTGAAATTGATTCGAAATTATAACTTCTTCATTTCACGTCTTATGGGTATAATAATAATATTGATAATAATAATATAATAATAGTAATAATAATGAGGTAATTACTCTGATCCAACAAGACGTCGGACATTTTTGATAAGAAATAATGTGAATGGTAATTCTGTTAATTTCTCTAAATAAAAATGTGAAATGATAGATTTGATACGTCATTTTTGGTTGACTAGAAAGAAAAAAAAATTTTTTTTTTCATGTCAAAAGCATATAAATATAACATAGTAAAACATATGGGAAATTAAGGGTAAAAATATCTACAACGAAGAATCAAAATGAAAAGATTACAATAAATATTTATAAGAAAAATTTCGAGAACTGCTTACAAATAAAAAAAAAATTTGCAAGCAGTAGACGCCATAACCTACAAATATCATATGTAGCTACCGTCTTCGATAATGTCATTGTTGTTTGTGTCATTGGCCTGGTTAGGGTCTTGATCAACATTATTGCGAAGATCATCCTCGCGACTCTCAGTGCTACGACTTTCTTCGCTACTACCCTCTTCGCCATTGTTTTGAACTTCTTGATCTTCCATAGGTGGCACTAGCCTTTGCCTATAAACAACATTGGCGCTACCACTAGAATCGTTCCTTCTTAACTCGGGCTTTTCATCCCTTGAGATGTAACTCCTTTCGGTTACATGTTCGCCGTAACCGTTTCGAAGATCATACCCTTCTAACTCCAAGTTGTTACCTCCAAGCCTCCCATGTCTTCGTTCCATCTCAGGCATGGGCGTTTGGCGCCTTTCAATTGATGTTTGGACTGAATCCGATGGGTATCTACGGGTATATTCATACGCCCGTGATTGTTGCCTAGGAACTGTCACCGGACTACTTACGAACTCATCATTAATACCACGTGGTGCATAGGATCTTCCAGATGAAGATCGATGTAATGAGGATACGGAGGTATTTCGTGTGTGATTAGTTGGATGCATTGGTTCCTCCGTGCGTATATATGATGGAGGACGCGAACTTGTTCGTTGATAGGTAGAAGGTGTTGTGGTGGTACTATTAGAAGGTTGATTGTTGTATTTTTGCAAGCGTGGAAGTTCGCCACGATCATAGTACGTTCGTCCATTTGGGTTATAGGTATCGTGATTGGAATTTGAGGGTGGAGGAGGTGATGATGACGTATTTTGGTACGTGCCAGAAAACGTTCCACCGTACGCACTGCCAGAAATTCGTCGACTACGATATTCGAGAACGCGTGGAGGGAATTGCGAGTATTGAGGATCGCCAATGTTTTCTGGTGGTAGACCGGGTGAAGGAGGTCGAGAGACACGATTGTAACGAGGTCTTTGTGGCTGATTGTAATAATTTGTTTGTTGATCGACAGGAATGACTCGGTGCATGGAATTATCAACATGATCGACAGGGTTTGGGGTTTCGTGAATATTTCCATCAGGAGCAGATGACACCCGTTGTATTGGGGAAACCGATCGTGTTGAATGAGCAGGCGTTGGCATGTACAAAAGGTTCGGATCACTAGGATAATGTGCGTACCCTCGTCCACCAAGGTAATCTTTTTCCGATGGAACTCTTTTATTCTGCTTCTTCGGTGCAAGTGAAGTCAAGGCCAATAGACATTCAGTAAGACTTCGGATCTGTTCATCACTTGTTTTTAGCAAAACCTTCATAGACTTCTCTAAAGTCTGGTTGTCATCTATCTGTGTTAGAATACCGCGTAGCTTCGTGTTAAGCATAAGTGCCGATGATACGACCATGGCCATCGAATGTGACGGCGGAGGGGACGCATCGCCTGTGTATTGATTGGATGTTACGAATGATTTCTCAAAAAACTCGAAAGCATTTTGTAGGTGCTTGTTGTGTTGTTGAGCGGTCATCGAGGAGCGGCGTTGGGCGCTGGCGTTCGAAGAGCTTGCACCACCTTGTGAACTATTGGGAGATAATGCAGATGGTGATGTTAACGGTTCCGAGATATTTTTCTTTCTTCGTTGTTTCCTTTCAGACATGGAATCTACCAAAGTTAAATGATAAGTAATATCGTTAGCACAATTTTTTCTTTTTCTGGCAGATCAAGTAAAAAAAAAAAACGAATAAAGACGAAAATTACCATCAAGGCTAGCATGTTCTGATTCCAGTTTCTGAATACGTGATCTCAACGCGCCAATTTCATCCAGCAAAGAATCACCGGATAATACACTGCAACTATCATCTTGCACTTCAGCGATCGGGTAAGACCCATTTATCTGTGACCGAAGGTTCATTCTGTTTGATTTTTTGATGTCCGCCTCTGTGTCATATTCGTCCACATATTTTTGTGGATGCCTTCGTCCATTCGCTGATATCGTTTGTTTGCCTCGTGTCCTAGCCCCATCTTCGGAGGATCGTTCGTCAACCATCTTATGTTCGGCAACATCCGATAATGACCCCCTTTCCTCTTCGATTACTTCATCCATCGAATTAAACACTATACCACGCCTATCACCCTTGTAGATTTCGGCTGAACTATGTCTCGAGGTACGCAGAGGATTTCTACGTTCACCCAGAGTAGGCGCAAATGGCATGTGTGCAGTTGAGATATCAAACTCTGAATCAGAAGATTCGGGAGTAATTAAACGATGTGACGAGTTGGCATTCGTATTTATCGTAAGAGAAGGTAGATTTTTAAACCTCCGCCGTCGCAACGATATATCATCATCATCCTTCTCTTCCATGCTATTATCCATCTCATTCGTGTTCTCCGGATCGGAATTTGGTTCCGCCGAGAGATACTTCCAATCCAGTTCTCCGGTATTATTACCAGAAGTTAGATCTTTCGCATTACGATTCAAAATTTTTGATGACCGCTTTAACGATGAGAAGGAATCATTTGTTTCTTCCACTTCCATTATACCGTCGATGTTCTTTCCATCTCCTGAAATTTCCGGTCGCAGCGATAAAGATGATTGCTGTTGAAAACTTAGTCTACGCCTGGACTTCAAACCATTGACTAGACTATCGATGTTCTGTCCGTTAGCGTGTTGTGGAATGTTATCCAATTGACTATTTATTGCTGTCAGAGCTTGAAGTTGTGAGTGTTGAAGTTTATTCATTTGTTCAAGCATCTGAGAGAATGTTGAGGAACACGCGTGAAGACAAGCAAGAACAAGGTTAATAATCCAGATACAAAAAAGGAATGAAAGTAAGTTACACCGGTTGACCTGTTTACCTCTCGATTTTTATTTGATAACGACACGATCTTGTTCTTCGTGTTACGAAACAAAGGATCTCCGTGTTCGCTTGGCGCCGAGGCCGTTGTCATCATATTATTATTATTCTGGGGTAGGTGAGCGGTTTAGAAAACATAAAAATCGTGAAAAGGTATTATTTACAAGTTCATCAATGGTAAGATCCGGAGTTTGTTGGAACTTGGAGTATAGCCCAAGCCGT